AGTCTGATCGCATTCTTTACTCCTCGGTACTATTAATAAAAAATGTTGTATTTTAGTTTTGACAGCAGTATGTTTTGAACAGCGTAGCAGATGTTTGATTCATTGTTGAATCATTTATTCTTTGATAACAGGATTTTTAATTATTTGACAAGGAAAACTGTAATTACTATTACAACAATCAAAATATACAATGGAAATTCATCAGTTATGTTTCATTAATGCTTGATGAATAGTTCAGAATGGAGTCTTTCGTACTGCCATTACCACAGAATAACTGCAATAATAATTCATAAATGCTTTGAAAACTAATTTACTTCAGTTAAACTTTTAAACTTCATACAGCAAATTATAGCACTTCAGTTGAAATGATACTAGGAATGAAAGCAGTCTAACTGTGCATTTAATATTTCTCAGCGGTAGGTTTCTTTCATAAGGTCTGAATTTTGAATTACAGATTATTATCTTACTAGGCGATTTGCTTTTGCATCATTTCAGGTACGTAATTTTATTAGATAGGGAAGAAAAGACATACCTCATTTTTATTCATATCGCTGTTGGATGATTGTAAAATTTCGGAATCCATCGGACACAACCGATATCTTCCTTGCCCGTCGTACTGCAGAAGATGAGTGTGAAATCGCCTAAAATTGTTTGAAGTGGTTCATGAGTTTTAAAATAGAATTTTTCTGACAGAAATACTTTAGCCTTCTTTTTAAAATAACAATCCTTTCGTTTCACATGTTTGTTTTAGTTACACAAGTGTAAACTATGAGCTGATGGGAAATTGATGTGGCATATTGAGTTTGAATTAAGTCGAAATTTCTGCAGTGAATTTAAAAATTCCCAATTACCAGTATTATTTTACCAAAGACTTGGACGATGTGATACAGAGAGAAGTGTAAAGCCGGCATCTTTCATTGCTTGATAAATCAGTGCTTCGACATCTATCGATATTGCACTAGTACATTCATCCAGTAAGGCATACTTTGGTTGATGATAAAAAATCCTTGCTAGGCCTAATCGTTGCTTTTCACCACCTGATAGAACACCAATCCATTCACGTTTGCTTTCGAAACCTACAATCTCATTCCATTCTAGGTATTTTATAATTTTTATCTTTTTATAATTTATTTTTTATAATTTTTTTTTATTTTTATAATTATTTTATAAATTTTATAATTTTTGAATTTCCCCTAAGAACTTAATTTCATACTCTTTTAATCATTTGCTATTAAACTTTTTTTCTTTTATTTTTGACAAATGCTGGTATTAGCAAAATATTCGAATCACAAACCTCCTTCACGCTCCACAATATCACTCAAATGTACCGTTTTTAAAATTTCCATCAAACCAGTATCTGTGATACCTTTCCTTCGCATATCCGTCACAGTATCCGGATAAATGATCTGTTTGAATTTCTTCGTTATTTACATATTATAAGTGTATGTAAAAGCGGTAGTATATTGGTAATGGAGTATAATAGTAGTAAGGATTGAGTAAAAGGTAATAAAGAATAAATGGCGTAAGAAATACTGAAAATCAGTTTTTTATAATCTCTGTTATTAGTTGTGTAGGATGAAAAAGGACAAGATCAAGGATTAAAATATAGAATGATGGATGAATCAAATTAATTAAAATGAAATTTTAATCGTGTTTTTACATTTGTAATAAGCTAGGAGGAAATCATGAAATACTACGTAAGTAATATTTTTTGCAATAATTAACTTATCCTCTGCCATCTTTCCAAATTTTTTTCATGATTGAAATAAATGAAAGACGAAGAGATTTAAAATGAATAAATGATAACTTACTTCATGTATTCTTGTATGGCAGATAACTTCCGAACTGTCCGGATAATAGCCACGTTTACCTGACACTGCCAGGGGATAAATATTACTTACTAACCTGATCTCTTAGATTTCCGAAAGTCATATACGGTCGTTGCGGTAAATAATACATTTCTGCTTTTGGCGGTAATTCCAATCGTCCACGATATACTGGCCATAAACCACCAAGGATTCGAAACAGTGAACTTTTACCACAACCATTTGGACCAGTAATGAATAAATGCATGCCAGCATGAATCTGTTAGTTGTGTAAGATATTTGGAGAAAAATTAAATTTATAATTTTACAGGAATTCTCAAATTTATAAGGATATAGCTAAAAAATCTGATATTTTAACTTCCTCCTCTTTCTCTTCTCTTTCTCGCTTGCTCATTTCAGCAACAATATCAATTTATAGTTTAACCGTGAAATAAGATGAAATTGCATATTTTAACCGTCTTGGAATTCCAGTTAGGAAACCTACTTGAATGAAATTCTTTTTTACCACTTTTTATAAACTTATTATCACCCTTCCGAAAAAATTCAAATACATATTAGCCTAGCAAACTGACTACTTTATATTCTAAAGTAAATAGCAAAAAGAATTGAAAAAACAAAGAGCCAAATATGAATGCTTCAAATCCTATCCCCCTTCTGCAACTAAAGGAGCGAAATTTTTAAATGATTTGTTTAAGTCACAAAAACGACCTAAGGATTAAGTTTAAATGTACTCCGCAAACCTCAATACTGAAATTGTTGACAATGATATGACCAGCTGGAGTAACAATCGGCACATCACATAATCTAACAATGCCATTTGTTTGAAGAATTTGACCTGTAAATTTTTCGAAATGCATTATTACAGAATCAATAAACAATTCAGCAGTTGGAAATAAATTTTTACAATATTGTTCTTTTTTGTCAAATTTTCGATAAAATTTCAAACAACAATTTTAGTTCCGTAAATTTTACTTGGACTATTATGTATCCATGAAAGTAATTACCATGTATTTCATGAGTATCAAATTGTACCATATCATTCTCGCTCATGTTTTCCAGACTTTTTTCCCGGATAAATTTTTGTTGTTTTACGTCTTCAAAAACTTCGAACATATGATAAACACGTGATGCATATCCAGCCAATTCGATCACCTAAAAAGTATAATGTATTTTAAAATAAATAATGGACAAAATGCATCTGAAAGTTGTAAAAAAAAAAAAAGTAATTGTAAAAGTATTTCTCATATATGTTTTCAAATGTAACATTTCTTCAATGTTTAAACAAATCCATAAAAAATCTTCAGAATTGGCAAAATGACTATTTGTGATATTTCTGCATAATAAAATAGCAATATTTTGAAATCATAAAAACCTCTTTATGGGAAATCATTAATTTTTCAGCAGCACCTGCTACAACACCCATCAAATTTTTTGCAGTCATAAAATTAGCTGTTCGATCGCCCACTTTTATTTTTGCTGAAATCTAGAAGATAAATGTAGAATGATTATCAGAATAATATCATAGTTGGACCACTGTATAAAGTGTAGCTAAAATTATCTTACATCAAAACTAATGTTGTAATATTTCCTTTAAAACAATTTTAAAGTGTTACTATTTTTTTTTTTTTTTTAAGTGCACATAATAATTGATAGAACTTACATGATGCTTTGGTAGATTTTGTGGTGAATAACGGAGGAGCAATCATAATCATACCCGTAGCTGTCCATAAATATTTCAATAAATATTGTTCTACCATGATATACGGTATTTTCTTCCGGCAGATTAAGTATGCATGATGTTGAATGTTATTAAATGCTTTTAGCAGGCAAATTTTTTCAGTCTGAAAAATTTCGACCATTTTATCGTTTTTTTGCATTGGCATCTTATTAAGCTTATATTCTGCTAATGAGTAATTAGTGAATTTTAAAGATAAATTAGTTTAAAATATAAAAATTTAATGTGTAAAAGCTAATAATTCAGCATTCCGAATAATTGAAATAAAACTCATTTTGAAGCAAGAACAAGTTAATTTGCATGAATTAATTGATTAACAATAAATATTCAATTATAAGATATTTTCTTCCTGACCTCATGCCCTCTGTAAAGTGCAACTTCTTCAGAATTCGAAATGAGACGTGAATGTAAAAAGCGTAAAGCACCTTTCTTTTTTGATTCTTCCGAAAATAATTCGCTAAAGCTGTAATAAAGGAAAAAAAAATGACAATAAAATAGTACGGTAATTGATAAGCTAACAATGATCAAAGATTGTTTTTTTTTTTGGAATAAACTTTGTATAAAGATGAGGACAAAAAAAAAAAAGAAAAAAAAAGGTCGATTAAAGTCCTCACTTAGGCGATATGAACCGCAATAGTCCAGCAGTACTCATCAAAATACCAGGCCCCATGATAATCAAAAGGAATATACCTGAACCTAACTTTGCTTTCCATGATTTATATACCAGTGTCGATCTGAAATTAATACAATTCAAAACTATTGCATGGACTAACAATGGTGAGCTTTTCCAGGATCTAGTTGATGATAGTTTAAAGATTTTGGATATTGGTTGAAAGTGAATGGAAATTTGAAATTTGGAAATTCCAAATATTATATGAGAGGAGGATTAAAAAAAAAAAAGTACCCTACGAAGATGATGTCAAAAAGTGGCTTAAGGATTAATGAAAACAGGCGTGAAGTTGTTTGACAAAATGCCATAACATCATCTGTCAAACATTGATCAACATTTTTTAGTCGTTCATCCAAATTATTTACACGATAATATGTACAATCCTGAAAATATTTTGTACTTCTCAAAAAAAGAAGAAAAAAAACATAAATCAACTTTATCAAGAGAAGGAATTCGTTCAGAAGCATTTAAATTTGAAATTTAAAAATTAGGAGTTTGGATTTGAAATTATTTTGTTTAGACATTTTACAATGTTTATTAATACAAAAACAATAAGGCTTTTCAAACAAATAATTTGAATGGTTTTTTTCTTTTTCTAAATAAAAATGTTTGAATTAAAGCAAACCGATAAATATTTATTGTAAGCGTATTGAGTAAGACGAGCACGAAATGCTATGGCAACATAACCTTCCATGAACCTGGAATGAATGATTTCAAAATTCACCGACCCAAATTTTTTTTTTAAAATTCATAAAAGAAAATTCAAGAATGCATATAACGTTTCAAATTTTAATTTCATCATTAAATGGAAAGAAAATGACAATTTCTACAGGTAATTTACAAGTTAAAATCATAGTTAAATTATATGAATTGCTTGCATTTTTTTTTTTCATCCCTTTAAACAATGACTTTGATATTTACCAAAAAAAAAAGACTTTTAAAAAAATCAAAAGGAAATCTGCTGTTAAATCAAATTAGAAATTTAAAAAGATTTTGAAAACGATAAATGTTGCTATTGGATTTAATAATTCAATTCATAACTATTGATCAAGTGGATATTTGTGGTATGTTTTGGTCATGTGAAGAAATGAATTAACTAAAAGTTAAAATCATCCGATCCGATATTGTTGCAAAGATTGCAATTATGATGAAAAAATTGAAATAAAATTTCAATAAATTTTGGCAATCAATGATCAGATTTTGCAAAATAAAAAACAAAAATTATGACATACTTGATCATACTATTAACAAATGTAGCAGGTATTGCTACCAAGAACCATTTGATAAGATATCGAATAAATGCAGCAGATTGTATTTCAACAATTGTTCGAATTAAATGACCTTCTAGAGATGCTACATAAATGGACAACAATGTTCTTGACAGCAATACAACGGAGTACAGTGCTGAATTTTATAAAAAAATAAATTTTCTTCTTGTTGAATTTTTTATTTTTGACCAATTAGTCGGTGATAGTAAAATTTAGAAATCATTTGTTGACAGAAGTCATTTCATTCTGGTAAATTAGGGATTTTTGAATTAATTAAAATGTAGTATTAAAGAGAGAGAGAGAGGGAGAGAAGAAAAAAAACTCACTAAACTTACCAATGAGAAATGTTTCTCTACATTTGAAACGTGGAATAATAATTTTTAACAAAAAATGAAGTTTATATAGAAGCGTTGTATTCATTGTATTATACCATTTTGAAGATTTCCAGCTTCTTACATTTTTTGATTTCAAAATTATTGATGATGGAACTGTAATGGGATTTATGTACATCATTTAAGTATTAATTTTAATTTTCAAATTTATTTTTTAATTTCTAAATAATGAAGTATAAAAATAACGGATTAATTAAAGTAGTGATAAAATTGATATTTATCAATTATTTTTCATTTTAAATTGGAGAAAAAAATTACCTCCTTTTCTGACAATATTTACAAATGCGGCAACAAAAAGAAGTGAAGCAATTGTGGTAGCACCATAAAACAAATGACTGATTGAAGCATTTCCGGAAACAGGTTGAAATTTGGATAAAGCAGCCATCTTTGCATCATACACATACACTGTTTGAGCCAAATAAATCAATGTATCATTAAATCAATAAACCGAATAAATCATTCTTCTGTAATAATAAAAGTGATTTTGAATGATTCACAAAAAATTATGAATTGATAATATTTCAAACAAAAATTCGTCGAACAATTAAATGATATATGAAAAAAAAATTGAAATGTGTATATTTCAATAACAAAACAAACAAACTATATGATTAAGAATTTTGATGAATGAAAGATTGAAATTATTTATTAAAAATAAAAGAAATAAATCAGAAGTTTCATATTTATTTGATGAAAAAAACAATTGTT